TCTTTTTTAGATATTGCACATCACCATTCTCTGGCATTCGATGTCACGGAGTCTAAGGCCACTGTCATCATTTTCTTCTTTGTGTCTAATTGTGAATATAATTCTTTAACCTTGATATTTACCAACATTACCAGAATATATTTTGGTGTTAATCTGTCCTTGTCAAGTTTTCCTACCAAGGTCTTCTACCTGGTGTATCAAGACTCACTTCCCATCACCTCCTTCTTTACTGGGGGCACTCCAGCCTTGCCAACTATTTGTCCTGTGAATGCATAATACTACTTTATATCTCTGTTACTTGGCACAGGTAAATGAAATCCCCTCACTTCCTACCCCAACTCTGTCATTTGCTGCTACTGTAATGGCAGATTCAGCTCAAGCTTCTCCTTGCCTTGAGACTCCCCAGGTGACCCAGTCACTTTCTCCCTTCCACCTCATGAAAGATAACATATACCTGTATTACCCTTGGTACCCGGAGTCACCATTCCCGTTAAAGACTTTCTCTCACCCAGGACTCTGAGCTCCAAGGGGAAGGACGCTTACCTCATACCCACACAACTATGCCAACATGGTAAAGCCAGAAAGTTCTTGATGGTAAGACATTGTGTATGTGGATTGGGTAATATGCAGACAAATTACTGAGGAGCTAGTAAACAGGAAAAGTGGATATCTGAGAATTCCAGTGTTCTGATAGGCAAATACTCTAAGTCTTTGAGGAACACTTATCAGATACCGATGGCGAGATAGCTAAAATTATTGAGGGGAAGCCTAAAGGGGATGGAGGCGAAAAGTCTGACCTCCTCTGCAGTTATTAGCTCAGGTTCCAAACGCAGGCGGCAGCTGTCCCTGGGAGTCCGGAGTCTGCTCTCCTGCGCCATAATCTTTCTCCGGAAGGGCATGCGTGGTCAGCCCTTTTTCCATTTTCATTTCCATACTTAATGCTCGCTCTCGCCACCACGATCCCCGCTCCGTCCCACCGTACCGCAGTGAAAACATCCTTCTGTGGAGTAGGGTGTGGTGGGAACACCAGGGCGGGGACAGTGGGGCGGAACAAGCAGTGCGCATGCTCCATGGGGGCGCGGGGGCGGGAGCAGCATTGTGCCGTCAGGCGGCGCCTGCGCCCTGCGTCACCCGGCGTCCCGGACTCAACGGCTGGGAATCGGTCAGGGGGACTCGGGGCGGGATGGTGCCGCGGTGCCAGGCAAGGGGGGAAGGGGTGCGTGCGTGTGAGCCTGGTGCGGAGGCCCTCCCGGACGTGTCTGTCTAGCCACTTCCCTCCACAGACTCCGCTTGGCCATCCTGACCTCCCCAACACACATCCACACTGACCTGGACTTTGGTTCCGAGCTGCCACCGCCACAGTCACCTCCACAGCCACCACCGTGGTGGCCCCTTCACGCCACTTTGCTCCAGCCTCCCCAACAGAAGTCAAGTGCACTCCGTGAACTCTTTGTGGCCAGGTCACGGCGTCGCGGACAGGCTGAATTCCTGGATCTTTTTTGGATCTCCCCTTTTGCCAGATTATTTCTTTGCGCGAAGCTAAATATTTAATCTAAAAAGAAATGCACCCAATTAAGAATTCTTGAGAAGAAATGTGCTTCACCTGTGGATGTACACACCCTTGATTATTTGCAAACCTGTGATTATTTTGTAGAGAACTATTTGTAGTGAGCGACAGGTGAGTTGTTTTACTTAGTAGGATCCTTGGGATAAAAGACTATTGGCACTGGTATGTCCTAGGAAATACCAGTTTATCCTGTATTTCAAAACCTCTTGCTTTTATAAGTGCCAGGTTTTGTGTGTTGCATAATTTAATCTTCAGCAGCTGGGTCCAGTGTTATGTAGACTGGAATCAAAGTTCATTTAACAGCTATGAATGGGCTATTTTTTCGCTAATCTGGTCATTTAGTTTATTTGGGCAATTCATCTCTTGACTCATATTTGTTCATTGCTTAAGTGTTTATAAAAGGTACTGTAATTTTATGTCAACTAAAGACAAGCTTAGCATGTTTTCTATAAAGATATATAATTAGGATTTTTGCTATGGGACACTTAAAAGACAGAAATTAGTCTGAATTGTGTTTAAAACATAACAGGTTTTCAAAATTTGTATTTGTAGACATGAAATTTTTTATGAACGATTCCATTTAACTTATAAATTTTGTCTTTGACGAAAGTAATACATTTGAAAAATGAGAAAATGTCTCTGCATGGGTAGACAGAAAAGGACTATGAGTTCTTCTTAAGAGCATTTTATTTATTTTCAGGTTGAAGTATTGTATTTTGCAAAAAGTGCTGAAATAGTGGGAGTTCGTTCAGAGACCATTTTTGTGCCACAAGAAATAAAAGCATTGCAGTTGTGGAAGGAGATAGAGTCTTGGCATCCTGGGTAGTTAAATGTTTATAGAATGAATGTGATTAACACATTTTAAAAAATATTTTAAAAATGTATAACTGCTAAACATTTCTAAAAAGGGTAATTTCCATGCTTATTGCCAAAAAAGGGTCATTAGTTTTATATTTTTCTGGAACTACTGAAAATTTAAACTCTAGTCTTTAGAAAAGCAACATTTTTAAAGAAAGGCTAGAGGTATTTTATCGAAAAAACACAGTAAGCTGGCATACTCCCAGAGGTACATGATTATATCCTCTTTCATAATTTACAAAATACTTTACATATAGAATCTGCATTTTTATAACATTAATTGAAATTGTTACAAATTTTGTTAAAATATGTTTTAAACTTTTTTGTTCTGCCCCCTCTTTAGAGAATGCAAAGAGAAATTTCTAAGGTTAAAAGAAAAATTAGCTACAACAAATCCTAGATGCCATTGAATTTCAATTTTTTTTCAATATTTAAATTTTTGCTGGTTCTTGAAAATCTATAATTTCATTGCTGTCATTCCTACTTCAAGTCTTTTTTGGAACAAAATATGAAAGCGACTTACTAGAAGGTGTTCCAGGAATATCAATAGTCTCCCTTAAGTCTGTATAATTGTTTAACCTGGAAGTCCTAGTGCTTTGTAAAAGATACTCAACAATGTATGTTTTGATTCTTGATTTCACATCTTTTAAGGTGCTCTTACAATGACCTGATAACCAATGAAACATGGTGTGCCCTCTGTTCTACTTTACCTTGAATCTGTTACCTGCAGGGAAATACCTGGTCTTGTACACATTTTCACTATGCCTGAGAAGAAAACTTACATTGTCCAGATATGAAGAAACAGCTTTATTATTATAACTGTGTTGCAGGTGGCACTGTGAACCATGCCATCTTTTCATCTTTCTAAGCAACTTTTCTGTATTTGAATAGGATAATGTGTACAAGCACAGTTTGTGGGAAATCTTATAGCTTTACTTAGTAGGCTTGTACACATAGGTGGATGGCCCCTAGAAGGGCCATGCATGAATTTGAAAAGTTAATTTTCTTTTGACGTGGTTTGAATATTGTTTCCAGTCTGGTGGTTTTTTTCGTTGTTTGATCCTCCATGACACACAACTTCCAATAAAGAGTTGATAGCAGTTTAATGTGTTCTTTGCAGTGAAAAGGTGTGTTCTTCAGAGGATATGTCCTTTGCCTATAGAATGAGTTAATTAGTAATTTTTCAGGCGACGCTTCACATAGTATTATTATGTAATATCTTACATTGCAGCTAAGGAGATGTGTGGCCTATCACAGCATTGATACGTCTAATCATATTTTTTCCCCTTCAGATTGGCTGATGTTAAAAATAAAGTGATATTTGCTGTTTATCAAGAATATGTCGAGCTTGGAGATCAGCTCCTTTTGCTTCAACCGGGAGACGAAATTGCTATTGTCCCCCCATTAGTGGAGGGTAGTGCTTCTGAGCTGTCTAGTTATGTGAGATTTGTTTTTCTTAACCAGTCTTATAGAGAAGAATTGTATAGATGATAACTTGTATGTGGTTTGAGGTTGCTGTATATTCTTTGTAAGTCTGTCTGCACCACATCTTTATTGATTCATCAGCCTGTTATTGATCCAGACACATTTATAAATACCTACCTATCATCTCTGCATCAATTTTATTGTAAGCATTTTAATTTAATATCAGTTTGATATGTTTGTATATTTATAATGGTTTATTCAGATCTTAGTATTAAATATCAGGAACAGTGCTAGACAGTGGAATATTAGGATACATATTTTGCAGGTGAGAAAAATTCAGAGGAATTAAAAAACTCTCTGATCTCATAGCTGATAAGTGAAAGAACTAACATTTGAACTCATAGGACTCTTTGTATCCTTTTTTTCAAATGTGCTTACTAGTAATAGATAATAGCTCTGCTGTGCACAGAGAAATGTAGAAAAAGTGCACATCTAGATAGTCAAAAGATTACTATGCCTGAGAAGAAAGCCTATCATTGTCCATCTATAAAGATACTGTGTTTTAGTCATAGCTTTGTTGGAGGAGGAACTGTGACCATGCCATCTTTTCATCTCTCCAAGCAACTTAGTTCATATTTGAGTAGGATAATGTGCACGGACATTTTCTGTGTAGTCTGAGAGATCTGCTTATGTGCATACAGAATGAGGCATAATTTATTATCAACTAAAGAGTAAATAATGTAGAAATTATCAGTCATCAATCAAAAACTCTTGTAAGTTAGGATAGAAAGAAACCTTTCTTAATTTCACAGGATTTTTAACCCCAAATCAAGAGTAAATATAATACTCGATGATAAAAACTTGGTTCCATTAGACAAAGAAACAAGTCAAGGATGCCTTTTTATTTTTTCACCCATTTTCCCCACCATCCTTGAGGGTAATGCCACAAAAGAAGAAGGAGGAGGAGGAGAAAGGGGAGGAGAAGGAGGAGGAGGAGAAGAATATGCAAAGATATTTTTCTGTGTAGTCTGGGGAGATCATACTTATGTGCAGACAGTGAGGCATAATTTATTATCAACTAAAGAATAAATAATGTAGAAATCAGCAGTCATCTTGAATCAAAAACTCTCGTAAGTTATGAATGAATGAAACTATCTTAATTTGAGAGGATTTTTACCCCAAATCAAAGGTAATTATACTTAATGGTTAAAACTTGGTTCCATTAGAGAAAGAAATGTCAAGGATGCCTTTTTATTTTTTCACCCATATTGCCCCACCATCCTTGAGGGTGATCCCACAAAAGAAGAAGAAAGAAGAGGAGGAGGTGGAGGAGGTAGAGGAGGAGGAGGAGAATGTACAAGGACATTTTCCTGTGTATTCTGAGATATCATGCTTATGTGCAGACAGTGATGCATAATACATTATCAATTAAAATAGAAGGAGGAGGAGGAGGAGGCAGAACGAAGCATAATTTATTATCAACTAAAGGAGGAGGAGGAGAAGGAGAATGTGCAAGGACATTTTCATGTGTAGTCTGGAGAGATCATGCTTATGTGCAGACAGAATGAGGCATAATTTATTATCAACTAAGGAAGAAGAAGGAAGAGGAGGAGGAGGAGGAGCAGGTGAAGAAGGAGGAGAATGTGCAAGGATATTTTCCTGTGTAGTATGGAGAGATTATGCTTATGTGCAGAGTGAGGCTAATACATTATCAACTAAAAATAAATAATGTAGAAATTAGCAGTCATCTTGGATCAAAAACTCTTGTAAGTTAGGAATGAAAGAAACGTTACTTAATTTGACAGTATTTTTTCCCCAAATCAAGAGTGAGTATCATACTTAATGGAAGAATTTCGTTTCATTAGAGAAAGAAACAGGGCAAGGATGCCTTTTTATTTTTTCACCATTTTGCCCCATCATCCTTGAGGGATATCCCACAAAAGAAGAAGAAAGAGGACGAGGAGAAGGAGGTAGAAGAGGAAGAGAAGGAGAATGTGCAACGACATTTTTCTGTGTAGTCTGGAGAGATTATGTTTATGTGCAGACAGAATGAAGCATAATTTATTATCAACTAAAGGAGGAGGAGGAGGTGGAGGATGAGGAGAATGTTGAAGGATATTTTCCTGTATATTTTGGAGGAATCATGCTTATGTGCAGACAGAAAGAGGCATATTATCAACTAAAGGAGGAGGAGGAGGAACAGGAGGAGGAGGAGGAGAAGGAGGTTGTGCAAGGACATTTTCCTGTGTCGTCTGGAGAGATTATGCTTATGTGCAGACAGAATGAGGCATAATTTATTATCAAGTAAAGAAGATGAAGGAGGAGAAAGAGAGAAGTAGGAGGAGGAGGTGGAGGAGAAGAATGTACAAGGACATTTACCTGTGTAGTATGGAGAAATCATGCTTATGTACAGACAGAATGAGGTTTAATATGTTACCAACTAAGGAAAAAATAATGTAAAAATTAGCAGTCATCTTAAATCAACATCTCTTGTAATTTCAGAATGAAAGAAAACTTTCTTAATTTGACATGATTTTTACCCCAAATCAAGAGTAAATATCATGCTTAATAGTAAAAACTTGATTACAGTAGAGAAAGAAACAAACCAAGGATTGCTTTTTATTTTTTCATCCATTTTACCCCACCATCCTTGAGGGTTATCCCAGAAAAGAAGAAGATAGAAGAGGAGGAAGAGGAGGAGGAGGAGAAGGAGGAGAAGCAGAATGTGCAATTAAGTTTTCTTGTGAATTCTGGAGAGTTCATGCTTATGTCCAGAGAGAATGTTGATTAATTTTTCATCAACTAAAGCAGAAGGAGGTGGAGGAGAAGAATGTCCAAGGATATTTTCCTGTGTATTCTGCAGAGATCATGCTTATGTGCATACAAGGTTAGTCATAATATGTTATCAATTAAAGAATAAATGTAGAAATTAGCAGTCATCTTGAATCAAAAACTCTTGTGAGTTAGGAATGAAAGAAACCTTTCTTAATTTGACAGTATTTTTACACCAAATCAAGAGTAAGCATCATACTTAATGGTAAAAACTTGGTTCCATTAGAGAAAGAAACAAGCCAAGGATGCCTTTTATTTTTTCACCCATATTGCCCCACAATCCTTGAGGGTAATCTCACAAAAGAAGAGGAAAGAGGAGGAGGAGGTGGCGGAGGAGGAGGGGGAAGAGGAGATGGACAAGAAGGAGGAGGAGAATGTGCAAGGACATTTTCCTGTGTACTCTGCAGAGATCATGCTTATGGGGAGACAAAATGAAGTCTAATATGTTGTCAAATAAGGAATAAATAATGTAAAAATTAGCAGTCATCTTAAATCAACAACTCTTGTAAGTTAGCAATGACAGAAAACTTTCTTAATTTGAACAGGATTTTTACCCCAAATCAAGAGTAAGTATCATACTTAATGGTAAAAACTGAGTTCCAGTAGAGAAAGAAACAAGCCAAAGATGGCTTTTTATTTTTTCTCCTATTTTACTCCACCATCCTTAAGGGTTATCCCACAAAGAAGAAAAAAGAGGAGGAGGAGGAGGAGTAGAATGTGCAACGACATTTTTTTGTGTAGTCTGGAGAGACCATGCTTATGTGCAGACAGAATGAGGCATAATTTATAATCAACTAAAAAAGAAGGAGGAGGATGAGGAGGAGGTGGAGGAGGAGGAGGAGGAGGAGGAGAATGTGCAAGGACATTTTCCTGTGTAGTCTGGGCAGGTCATGTTTATGTGCATACAGAATGAGGCATAATTTATTATCAGCTAAAGAAGAAGGAGGAGCATGAGCATGTGGAGAATGTGCATGGACATTTTCCTGTGTAATATTGAGAGACCATGCTTATGTGCAGACAGAATGAGGTATAATTTATAATCAACTAAAGGAGGAGGAGGGGTGGAGCATGTGGCAGGATATTTTCCAGTGTAGTATGGAGATATCATGCTTATGTGCAGACAGAATGAGGCCTAATTTATTATCAAGTATAGAAGAAAAAGGAATAAGGAGGAGGAGGAGGAGGAGGAGGTGGAGGAGGAGAATGTGCAAGGATATTTTCCTGTGTAGTCTGGAGAGATCATCCTTATGTGCAGACAGAATGATGCATGATGTATTATCAAGTAAAGAAGAAGATGGAGGAGGAGGAGGAGGGGGAGGAGGAGAAGGTGGAGTTGGAAGAGAATTTGCAAGGATATTTTCCTGTGTAGTATGGAGAAATCATGCTTATGTGCAGACAGAATGACGTTTTATATTTTGTCAACTACGAAGAAAATAATGTAAAATTAGCAGTCATCTTAAATCAACAACTCTTGTAAGTTAGGAATGAAAGAAAACTTTCTTATGTTGATACGATTTTTACCCCAAATAAAGAGTAAGTATAATACTTAATGGTAAGAGCTTGGTTCCA